TGTACTGCAGGAGCAGTGGTGGCATGAGTGACTCCATCGCTCGTCGCCATCCGGATGATATCGCCTAAATACACCCGCCCGCCCGCTGAACGGGCGCATTCAGCGCAATGTCTGGCTATGTACACCGCGCACTCACCTACGCATTGCGCATTCCAGTGCGCTCGGTGGCTGCATTCTCTCCAAAACTATGAGCTTCCTGGGGAATGAAATATGGTCTGTCATCTGAGTCAAACTCAGCTTTGAGAAATTTGACTGCGTGATGAAATCCTTCCACATCTAGCTCCCCTAGCAGCGTAAAACTTGGGGTCGTGCGCCGTGCGCGCATTTTCCTTGATCGCATGATAGGCGCGCCCACGGATAACTGCATTGCGGGGGGGGGGGGGGGGGGGGGGCACTGGGCCAGCCCTGTGGGCTTCGATCACTTGCTTTCGGACTTCGTCACTCGTTCCATCACGAGCGTTCTCTCGTTGTTGTTGGTCAACATACACGAGGCCCCCATCAGTTGCAAACCTGGCATGACTAACATTCCTAGTTCGCCCCGGGGGGTCTTCCTCCTCAGGAAGGAGCTGCTTGTGATCAGGCGTCAGCGAAAGAGTTATGCGCGAGGACAGATCTGTGACTCCTGGACTAATATCTGCGTCAACGTCTTCAGTGATCGAACAAGTGAGACTTCCCCCCCGCATGGGGGATTCTCAGTTCATTGTCTTGCGGTTCCGCAAAGCGCGAGTCTTCTTCTCCATCCATCTTCGCAGCAGCTGACTCTTCGCTGGCCCCGGTTGTAGCGGTCAACGCCGCAGGGTCAGTGGCCATTCGGGCTTTTGGAACCTCTCGCGAAGGAATGAGATTCGGATAGCGAACTTGGAGAAACTTGCGCAAAGAAGAAACCCAATGTTGAGAAGGCGACGAATATTCGGTGGGTTCATTCCTCTTTTCATCTGGTCGTTTCAGATAGCGAAATGCCCAGGTAATCCTGTCGCCCCTCAAAAAGATTGCCTCCTGTCGAGAGCTCTTTAACACCTCCAAGCTGAAGACCGCCAGGGCGGGCTCGCCGGAGCTGTATTAATTCATCACGAAGTGACAAATATGTTCGGCTCGATTGCGATCCAAAGTGTATAACCAAAAGATGTCGCGCCAGCTTGGCGACTGCCGAGACGAAACATCGCCTTCGAGAACAGTTGGAAGCATTAACGAATCAAGCTTGTACTTCTCCTTCGCTCCGTCACCCTCACCAAGCCTTTCTGGCCGGGAGGGCTGCGGGCCAGTCACAATCGGTTCCGCAGTAGGGGGGCCCCGCAAGTCAAGTATGAAAACTTTGAGCCCCCCTGGGGCACCCACATCAACAATTTTATGGCCAGCTCCGGCCGTGCCGGGCTGTCCACGTCGTGCATCCGCGGGCGTGCCGAGTGTGTCTTCCTGTCATCTTGCACATCGCATCGCGGTGGGTCCTTTGGAGGAGGAGTCGGAGGTATAGTCAAATTCTTCGAACTTCCGGCATCCAGCGCATCCGCCGGCGCAGTAGGCGGAGCATCTCTCAAAGAGGGTTTCAACTGTGGCTGGATGTCTGGCGGAGGCGCCTTCACTCCTCCCTTGGGCATCTGATCAGATTCACCTGGAAAGTTGCGATGGCGTCGCAAATCGCACCCCCCCCCCAGGGGCGGCGAGGTCCCGCCCAGATCCCTGCGGTGCCTCGCGAGCTCCGCAGGACCCACCAGCGGCGCTTGAAAATGGCGACGGCGTCGCAGATTGCAGCCCCCCAGGGGCGGCGAGGTCCCGCTCGGATCCCCGCGGTGCCTCACTCCGCAGGGCCCACCAGCAGCCCTCGAAAGTGGCGATGGCGTCGCAGATCGCAGCCCCCAGGGACGGCCAGGTCCCGCTCAGACCCCCGCGGTGCCTCACTCCGCAGAGCCCGCCAGCAGCCCTCAAAAGCGACGACAGCGTCGCAGATCGCAGGGCGATGTCCCGCTCAGATCCCCGCGGCGCCTCGCTCCGCAGGACCCACCAGCAGCCCTCGAAAGTGGCGGCAGCTTTGCATGTCGCAGCCCCCCCAGGGATGGCGAGGCCCGCACGAAACAAGATGAGGGAGACGGGGGGCGCGAGGAGGGGGGCGGGCGGAGGAGGCGGGAGGATGAGGAGAAGGAGGAGGAGAAGGATTGGAGACCGCAGCGCCCCATTCAAAACGAATACCCCACCAAGGAGGGCTGGGAAAAAGGAACCAGAGATCCACCGCGCGGCCCCCGCGGCGAATCCGCGACGGCCGCGGCGCATTTTGCGCGCGAGGTTGCGGGCCAGCTCAAAACAACAAAATTCAACATGGCGTCTGGTCCTTCCTTCTGCAACCGAGCGCCTCCGACGCCGAACGCAATGCGAACGGTGCCCCGGACACTCTCAGCATGCTTCGACCTTGCGAGCGTGGGCGCATCCACTTCGACGTCAGTCTCCAATGGGCGCCCACGGTACCGTCGCAGCCTGTTCGGGGCCGCCGACCCGCTGGAACCTGGCGCCGTTCCGCAAGGTCATGCCGACGCGAGAAAGTCCGTGCAGTACAATGACCAGGGTTGAACCACCTAACAAGTAAATGACGTTTTAAATGAAGCCGCAGAGCGATGACTGATGCGGGCCGCGTGCGCGGCGCGCAGCAACCTTGGCTTCCTAAGGCGCGAGCGCCTGGAAATGACGCTAAACGAATGCAAGTTCGCCCCACTCGCCAGAAACAGCCTTGCCGTGCGAGGCCGAAAAGCGTCAGTCCGCCGTGCAAAACTGCTGCGGGCATTCAGCTCTCATGACCTGGCGTCGGCCGTCCAGTCTCGTGCTTCCGACTCCAAATGGCAGCGAGTCTCGGCGAACCCAATGAATTCAAATGAGATGGCTTTGGACTCATCAGACTGTTCCCATGGCTTGTCAGTGTGGGTCGTAGGACTCGCGTAGAACAACCGGTTCAAGTCTTGCTCACGCCCTTCTGCATCGGCTTGCGCTGGCTGTAACTGTCCTGCTACAGATGATCAAGCTGCGGCTGTGCCAGCGCCGATGCTGGCGACACCCTTGCCCTAGGCCTTCGCCTTCATCAACTGCGGGTCGAATTTCGCCATGGTCAGGCGCTCCGCGTCGGCGCTCAGCTGTTCCTCGCGCCGCTGCTCCGCCTCCTGGGTTGCCCGCGCTTCGGCGGGCGCAATGGCGCCTGACAACGCGGCCCCACTTGGTGCGGCGGGCGGTGCTCTCCAGCCTGGCCTGCGGCTGCCATGTCGCCGCCTGGCCCTGGCTTCGTCTCGTCGCCGCCGCCTGCCTGGCAGGTGCCGCCGTTGCTGCACCTCTTCTTGCTCACCATCCTGTTCGTCAGGATATTATTCTGCTCGTGCAGTTTGTTAAGCCAGTGCTGTTCCTTGGCCTCCTTTCCTGCCAGGTCAACCCTCCAACTCCTGTTGAAGGTCCAACGCCTTCTTCTCCTCGTCGGGTGGCCTGAGCACGTCGACCGTCCGAAGAATTTCTCACCCCGCTGCGCCTGGAACGGAAGGCCGTCATCATCGGGTTTCTTGCTCGCCTGCTGGACGTCATGGCCGCGCTCGGCCTGTGCCGGCGCCGTCGCCGCCGCCGTTTGGCCTGATCGGCCTTCGCGAACGCTATGGCGGCCGAGTGTTCCTTGTCCTACGAAGCGGCAGTGTTGCAGCGGAGTCGAAGCACGCTGGCCGCCGCGTTCTCGTGGAGGTTTTCGGCGTTGCGCCGAGCGCCATCGGCGCAGTTCTCACGAGCGTGGACGCCCAGTCGCTGCCTCCAGGCACGGCGCCGCCAAATGTTCCTGGAACGCCAAGCTGCACCCATTCGTTGTTGACCGCCGCCGCGGCCTGCTGGAGGAGGGCCTTGGCGCCCCGTCCGCCTCCTCGGGTCCGCCTCCTCGGCCCTTGCCGCCAGCTGGCGATCCACTTCTGCTCCTGGGGTTGGGGATGCCGACGGGAAAGGATCCTTGTAACGACTGCCTCGCGTCATGGAATTCCTCCTCTGCGTCGTAGCACATGATTCCGCCATCGTCCCTCTCGAAGCGCACTCGGCGTCCACTTGCTTGGGGTGATTTCTGGCACACCTCGACCGTAATAATGCAATGCCCGCAGGCCCGATTGTTCGGGATGAAACGAGCGTTCCATTCATAGCGGCGGCGTGCGGCACACCGGGACCACGGCTGCTGCGGGTTCGTCATCGCTGAGGCTGGAGACGGATGAAATGATATGTCGGCGCCTCTGTGCTAGTCAATGATTTTTCGATCTGCTCAGAGCGAACGATCAGTGTCCATCGAGCGCTTCGGGGAATCCCAGAAAGGATTTGGCCCTGAGTAGAGGAGTGCGATGTGGGAGGAGGAGGAAGGACAGAGGGCGGAGGAGTGAACTCGCATCGGGGGGAAGGCAGTAAGCGAGCCGATTGGACGGCTGACCTCCGAGACTCCGACATCACCAGCAGGGAAGGCGACCAGACCGCGGGCGCACCTTGACGGAGCGGGGTCGCGCATCACCTGGCCGAGCGAACGAGAAAGGGTTTGGTGCCTCTTCCCAAGCTGTAAGATTCGGGCACGCCCGCATTCAATCAGCAGATTTCTCGTTCAAGACCTGTGCCGAATGCGACGATTGACAGAATGTAGAAGGTCAGAGCATAGGGAAGTGCTGACTAGGTCACATGTGGGCATGGGGCAAAGATTGAAAAAGGCGAGTTTCTCAACAGGGCGACCGTACTCAAGGGCGGAGGGGGAGGCAAATAGTGAAAAGACCGAGCTCGGCAAAACAAGGGCTATCGATAATGTTGCGCAATTTATTGAAATGCCCCGCAAGCAGCGCAAGGCGGCTTCGTAACACATTTGAGCCTGCCCCTGCAGGTCCAACAATTACACAGGAGGCGGCGGAGGAAGGAGGAAGGAGGAGGAGGGGCAGGCAAGAGGAGAGCAGGGAGGGAGGGAGCGAAAGAGACAAGGAGATCATTCTTCCCCCCCCCCGCGCGTCGGCCGCCCCGCTCGACGGGCCGGCCTCAGAGCACGCTGGCCGCCGCCGCCCGCCACCGCCGCCGCCAGAGGGGCCCGGTGGCGCCCGCCGGGCATGGCAGCCGCCCCCCCCAGCCGCCCCCCCCCCTTCTTGCGCTTGAGCCACTGCCACTGCGGCGAGCATCCATGATGGGGCACGTTCGGGAGCGATGCCAGATGCTTCCATGAGGCGGAACGCCAGGGGAGGACCGTTACGGGGCCACGTTGTGGGGAGGGGGGGGGGAGACGGCTCACGGGCATCACGTTCGAAGTTCGAGGTTTTCCGACAGTGTCGTCGGTTCTCGGCAGTTGTCCAGCCTCGGGGTGCTTTCCAGCGGCTGCTCATCGCCGAGAGCGTTCCGGGGGTGCCTGAAACGTCCCGAACGGCCGCAGGAGGCTCGAGTTCTGACCCGCCCAGAGGGTGGAGACATCAAGCTGGGGCCCCTGGTAAAGAATCCGCACGCTCCTGGGCGGGGTGGGTCATTGGCCCCTATCGGCGATGAGTAGGCGATTGGGTGTCGATGCGTCCTCCCTGAGCCTATCCCCCGCTAACGTTGCTCCTGAATCCAACAGGACGTGTGGGCAGCCCTGGCATGTGTCGACGCGTCGTTCCCTGAGCCGATCCCCCCCGAGCGTTGCCCCTGAATCCTGCAGGACGCAGGGGCAGCCCTGACATCCTCTCGTTTTGAAGAAGTCACGATGGATGGTTTCTTCCGAACTTCGGCCTCCAAATGCAATCGCTGGGCTCCGGAACCGTCAAAAAGCGGCTTGGGGTGAAGAACCGGTCCAGGGGAATGGGTCGAGACCTCTGGGGGTCGAGGAACAAAAACGTAACTGGGGCAACGTTAAGAGGGGATAGGCTCGCGGGTTGCCGAGCATTCAAGATCCACCACTGGGCATAAGAGTGCACAACTAGCTGGCTACTCCTCGGGAAACTAAAAAGATAAGATGGCACGGAGCCTCGACCGAGAGGCAGAACAAGAAGCGACCGTGCACGGGAAAGGCGCCGTAACGCTCAGCTGCCACACCACATTTCGAGTCGGCGAGGCACAACCGTCCCGAGAGAGAGAGAGAGAGAGAGCGCGTCCATGGCCACATCCTCGCGGGGGCTCTTCAGCGCACCGATGCCCACCAGCGTGGACATCCACTCAGCGCGGGGCGCAACGTCCCTGCAGTCATCATCTGGGCCGCTTCCGCGCAAATGTCATGAAACAGCTTGGTAGATCCGGACAAGATGCCATCGGCAGAATCATAAACTTGACGAGGTCCGCGCGGATTTCTTGGATCGGCACCGGAGCGCTGCTGAAAGATCACCTTCGGGGCCCGCTCAAAGCTCGGCCACGCATGGCATATCTTGGATACGTACTCCCCTAAGCGGCGCTTGCACTTAAAGGTTCTCGCTTGTGTTCTGAGGAACTGGGCCGTGTCTTCGGTCTGGCGGCTATGCGGCCGCCGTCGCCGCCCCGTCGCCGCCTCGTGGCCGCCCGTCGTTTGTGCCGTATCTTCGGTTTGGCGGCTATGTGGCCGCCGTCGCGGCCCCGTCGCCGCTTCGTCGCCGCTTCGTCGCCACCTGTCGCCGCCGTTGCATGGAACCACGTAGATAGCACTCGAGACAAGATCGCACCTGCGGCGCGCTCTTCGATCGCTCACCATATAGATGGCGCCACATGTATTGCACAACATAGGCTACACAACGTATGTGGCACAACCCCATGTATTCTCCTTTCTAACAGATTGATAGATTCTACCCCCCCCCCCCCGGACTTATCGGCTCCCCCTGGGATAGTATGATTTCATATATATATATATATATATATATATATATATATATATATATATATATATATATCTGCACACCCGTCCATCCTAAATATGAATCATGCCATCCCAGCCAAACCGGGTGCCCCCCCTGAGGTTCCCTGGTAAAAAAACAGTATGCGGTGACATTTTTTGTTCTAACATAACACTTTTTCGCGAATCCCTTGCAACAAATGAAACGAAGTGCACACGCGCGCGTCGTCGCGCGCGCATGCCGAAATCCTTCAAAAACCTTCGGTGCGGGAGAGATTTCGCAATCGAGTTTCCCCAAAAACATACAAAAAACACAGGGTTTCGGAACAGAGAGTTGCTAAAAAAACGCTTCCGCGAAAGCTCTTGCGAAATCTTAAGAAAACCATGGGTTTTCCAAGATTTTCACAACATGCTACCAAACAGGCTTCGCGCGCGCTCATGTCGAAATCTGTCGAACGCCCTTGCACGTGTGCCGTCGCGAGAATCCCCAGCAAAAAATGGAAGGAAGTGCAGACGCGCGCGTCGTCGCGCGCGTATGCCGAAAACCTTCAAAACCCATCGGTTTCGGAAGGATTTCAAAATCGTGTGTCCAAAAAGCCTACAAAAGCACAAGGTTTCGCAAGACGGATTTTCAACAAAAGCGTGCGCGCGCGCTCTTGCGTCGTCGTCGTCGTCGTCGCCGTCCTCCCTCCTCCCGCGTCGTTGTCGTCGTCGTCGTCGTCGTCGTCGCCTACGTCGTCCTCTGTCTTTCCTCGTGTTCGTCGTCGTCGTCCTCTTTGGCGTCGTGGTCGTTTCCGTCGTCGTTGTCGCCGTGGTCGTCCTTCCTCCTCCTCCCTCGTCGTCGTCGTCGTCCGTCGTCGGCGTCTCGTCGTCGTCCCTCCTATTTAGTCGTCGTCGTCGTCGTTGTCGTCGTCGACTTCCCTCCTCCCTCGTCGCTGCCGTCGTCGGCGTCGCCGTCCTTCCTCCTTCTTCGTCGTTCGCGTCGTCGCCGTCCTCCCTCCTCCCTCGTCGTTGTCGTCGTTGTCGCCGTCGTCGTCCTCCCTCCTTCCTCGTTGTCTTCGTTGGCAACGTCGTCGTCGTCTTCGTCGTCGTCGGCGTCGGCGTCGTTGTCGTCCTCGTCGTCGTCGTCGACGTCGGCGTCGTCGTCGTCGCCGCCGTCGTCGTCGTCGTCGTCGTCGTCGTCGTCGGCGTCATTGACGTCGTCGTCGTCGCCGGTGTCGTCGTTATCGTCGTCGTCGGCGTCATCGTCGTCGTCGTTGTCATCGTCGTCGTCGTCGGCGTCGGTGTCGTCGTCGTCGTCGTCGTCGTCGTCGTCGGTGTCGTCGTCGTCGTCGCCGTCGTCGTCGTTGTCGGCGTCGTCGGAGTCGTTGGAGACGTCGTCGGTGTCGTCGTAGTCGTTGTCGGCGGCGTCGTCATCGTCGTTGTCGCTGTCGTCGTTGGCGTCGCTGTTGTTGCCAAGTGCCATGTGGTACCCACCGTCACGGTCTTAATAGATTTTGCAAACCAAGTTGCGGGTGGGTGGGTGGGATGTTTGCGCGAGCAGTGGAGTGGCCAACTCACTGCGAACAGAACTTAGTTGCACCATATAGACTGCACAACAAAGATTGCACCGAAGAGGTTGCACAACACACGTTGTACAATCAGACATGCATATATCCATATACACACATGCATATAAGTACATGCGTATGTATGTATATATATATAAACCACAATACGGCCATGTATATGTTTATGTGTATGTAAATGTGTACCTATACATATACCAACTACATACTAGAACCATCGCGCGCGCTTCGCGCGCGCTCAAGTTTTAGTCCACGCCTGGGGGGCGCTGGGTGATCTTGGACAGCGCTATCAAGCACAGGCGCGTGATATAACCGTGCCTCCTGAGGGCCTCTTGGGGGCCTCTTGGGTCTTCGGGGGGGCATCTGGGAGGTTCTCCGCGCTTCCTCACTCGAGCGACGATCAAAGACGGGTCTTACGCGAGATGGCACAGCGACCTTACGTGGCGGCTTACACGGGCCGCCCGCGCGGCACGCCAGTTTGGAGACGAGGGCGCTTACGCGCGACCTTACGCGGGCAGCTTACGCGCCAATGTCGGCGCACTTGGACCCCTTGTGTTTCGTCGCCCGATTGGCTGTTGGAGGCATCTCTTGGGTGCTTCTTGGGGGGGGGGGGGGGCGTCTTGGGGTTTCTTGGGCCCTCTTGGGGGCATCGTCGGGATTATCCAGACGGTCGGAAGGTGATGTTGTGCAATATGAAGCCATCATTGGCCGTCTTGTCTGCGTGGCCTGGGGCCACGTTGAAGGGATCCGAACCCTCGCGGGGTCCTCCTGAAGGCAGCTTTGATGCATCGAGGGCGCTCTTGGGCTGTTTTGGGGCCCCTTGTACGTCTCCTGGGGGCCTTTGGGGGCCTCTTGGGAGGCTTCGGGAGGCCCCGTCGGAACGCTTGGGGGCTCTTGGGGCCTCCCGCGGGCCCCTTAGGGCGGTGGGTTCTGCTGTTGGGTTCGAGCTCCTCTTCTTGGGCCTCTCTTGGGGCCGTCTTGTGTGATGTGGAAGATTCTCGCAAATGATGTTCTCTCTCTCTCTCGCTCTGCGCGGCAGAGATCGCAGCTCAATTAGCCGAGGGCCCTGGAAAATGATTAGAGCCAAAAGGGCGGCGGCAGAAAGCGGGTGGGAGGAGCAGCGAGTCCTTCGGAATCACCCCCCCCTGCCCGGTGCGCGGGCGCACGAGGCTGAGGCGCCAGAGCAGCCGGGCATAGATGCCTGGCTCTTCATTGAGCAGAGCGCCAGGCGTGCCGGCAGAAGCCGAGCAAACGGCTCCACGAGGCTTACATTGCAGGCAACTCCTTGGGCACTTAAGCGGATGCGCAACACGCGACCTGCAGGGTATTATCAGTCTCAGCGCCGCCGGCGCTATAATCAAAACCAAGCAAGGCTAACAATATCAAGAGTTCGATCGCGAAGCGACAGAACTCAAACGAACTATCTATCTAGATAAAATCTGACTGGGTGCGATCGTCATCGCATTTTTATTAAAAAAAAACTTGTGCACGCTGAATGAAGTTTCTCTAAATGCTGATTTACGTGTATTTACCAGGTGTGGAAACCGAGCAGCAATGCGGACTTACGTGAAGACTGAGCAGCAATGCGGACTTACGCGCAAATCACCGGGTGTGAAAAATGAGCAGCAATTCGGACTCACGCAAGCGGGGTCGCATGAGGCGACCGTCTGTAGCAACAGCAGCAGAATATTGGCTGGTTCGACCGGCCAACCTGCCGTCCGGACACCAAACGGGATTCATCTTTCCTTCTTGGGCTTCGTCGGTTTGTCCATC